TCTCCCAGACCGAAGACCTCGTATCCTGGATCAAGACCACCGCCCCGGGCAAAAATCTCCGTTATGTCTACATCACCCACGGCCACGGCGACCACTGGTTTGGCATCGCCGTGCTCAGAAACCACTGGCCCAACCTGCGCGCCATCGCTACCCCGGGCACAGTCGAGCACATGAAAGAGCAAATCAAGCCAGTCATCTTCGAGGGAGTATGGTTGAACCTCTTCCCCGGTGGCCAGATCCCCCAGTCCCCGGAGCTTGCCGAGGCCATGGAGTCGCCGGTGTTCAAGCTCGAAGGCCACGAATTCTGCGCCATTGAGGTTGGCCATACAGACACGTACAACACGACCGTGCTCCACGTGCCCAGTATCCATCTGGTGGTCGCCGGCGATGCAGTATACGGCGATGTACACCAGTACTTCGGAGAGGCCGATACTCCCGAGAAAAGACAGGAATGGCTCCGGGCGCTTGATGCGATCGAAGCACTGAACCCACACACGGTCGTGGCAGGTCACAAGCGAGCCGGAACAGTGGACGGAGTGTTCAACGTGCAGAAGACGCGACAGTATATCCTGGATTTTGAGAAGGCGGTTAGCTCGACTTCGAATTGGAAGGAATTGGCGGAAGAGATGCAGAGACGCTATCCTCGGCGCATTAACCCGCATGCGATCCTCAGAGGAGCGTTGGCTGCATTCCCCGAGCCACCTAGTTCGCGCGGTGGCAGAATTTAGTGCGGTGGTGTCGGGATGTGAAGAGATAATTCCTGATACTGGATGCAAATTATAGAACTGACTGGACATCAAATACTCAATTAAAAAGCAGTGCATAATTGGTCGGGGATATGGGATCACTGTAGCACCGTGAAACACGCCCTGGAAGGCTGATTTTCTTTGCAGCTGCCAGAATGAACGACACGATTAAGATAACAGAGAGAAGTCTTGATGAATAGAGAGATCATACGATCTCGAAAGAACACGCTTAGCAGACGTGCACCTTTACCTACCATTCGGCCAAACTGTCCGATTGATATTTGCCACTTCAAATTCAAAACCTATATTTCACATGAAAGACCTAGATCAATAT